GGGGGGGGGGGGGGGGGTTAAGCATGCCAGATTGTCGTTGCACCATCAGGGTTAGCACCTCTGCTGCTGTTGTTCGCTCTGCCGCTGGATCGCATCCATACAACACCGCTGTCGACGCGTCCTCTACCGAGTTAGTCGTCATCGTGGTGTGTGCGTGAGTGTGTGCGTGTGGGTGTGTGTTTCGTCCCAGCTACTCTGGGCGCCAGTTTACACCCTTTCGCTACACGCTTTACGCCACCAGCCGAGGGTGCGCGAGATTCAAAGCTGTTTGCCTCAAGCTGCGCTGTTGATGCGAGAGAGCGCTGGCCGATCGGGTTGCTCAGCCCCGTCAGTCCTCCCGTGCCCTCTTTCGTCCGCTTATTTGCTGGCAGAGGCGGTTTCAGTTGCACGCCGCGTCGGCAGCGGTTCCCCCGGAGGCGGCACCAAGCGGGACGGCGGGCGACGGAGCGGAAGCGGATAAGTCGGTGATCGGCGCTGTGTATAGGTTCACGCGGCCGCACACGATCAAAGGTGGGGGTAGTTCATCATCTCGGTAACCCTTTGTGGTGCCCCCCCCCCTCGAAGGGCTGACGTTCCCGCGTACATTTCCCAGGTAGTGCATGTTAGCCCGTCGCCAACGAAAGCAGTTTCTTGTAGGTCCCTTGGCGCTTTTGCTCAGCGACTCTAAAAGATTCGAACTCGCGTTCGAGCTAGCTGCGAAAAGTGTTGCGCTTGAAGTTCGTGCCACATACGGACAGTTTCGTGACGGCAAGTTTGCACATCAGGTAGAAAGCCTTCTCACGCCTCTCTCAAGCTCAGTTTCCTCTCAGGGTCCCTGTTAGGTATTTTCCATCCCTGTCGGGGGGGGGGGTCTCGTACGCGAAGCTCGTTGTCCCCTCCCCGCTGGCGGGAACTTGGGGGGGGGGATAGGTTACAAGTCGCTACGGTTTACCCCCCCATGTGGCCGTGAGATATGCTGGCGTTCCTGATGCACCTTGTGTACGTAGGTGAAGCTTTTCCTTGCGCGAACGCTCGAAATTACGTGGTTCAGGGGGGAGGTTGCATCGGAAACTTTGTCGCCTCGTGCGTGTTTCGCCTAGGCGCTCGTTCATCACGCTAGGCGGTATCCAATTATATGCGATAGCGGTGCGTGATGTGTTATTTTTCTCCCTCTCTTGGCTTGGTGCGTTGTTTAACGGTGGTTGTGATGATTCTCGTTTTTTTTTCGCAGGGACGATTCTCGCTTCGGTGACGGGCGTGGCGAGAGCTCTCATCGAATCCCCTAACGCGATCAGGTGAAAGAAAGTCTCGAAACAAGAGTGTTTTACAGCTTTTATTTTGCCCTTCATGGGTGTGAAGATTTGACCCAGAAACGGACGCATCTAGTCATGCAGAAAGGAGGAAAGCGTGACTCACGGACTAACCTCCGGCTGCAAGGAGGGTCCTCCAAGACGCCCGCCACCCATACCGTACGTTGCATAAGCCACCAAATCCTGGTTCGGTGAACCCCTTGACGAAGAAGCGTACCTTTGTCTCCTGAAGGATACTCGAGTACTCCACGACGACGAGGATGAAAAAAACAAAGCGTATCTTTCCGGAGAGATCTCGATGGCCCGGTTCCAACGCCGCCAGTTTCAACACCGCCTGTCTTATTGCCGTGGAGTACTAAGGCTTTGAAAATCGGTCCAGGAGTTGTGGCGTGTTTTGCAGCCTGTACGGCCGTAGCTGGGCGACTGCAACACATCTACAGCGCCATGGCTGATGACCAGTCCGGCGGATACGCACACGTCGCCATCATCATCGCCATCATCATGGCCATCATCATCGGCCTTGCCTTTTCTCTGCCATTGCCTGTCTTTCCCACTCCATTGTAGAACCTGTTGTCCTGCTGGCAGCCGTCGCTTACCGGCGCCGACGGCTTCCTAGCAGGAGTACCCGGCCTCGATAGAGACTGATTCTGTTTTCGTGATCGAGTAACCGTTCGCAAACTAACCCAGACGCCGTTCGTTTCGCCCATAGGCCATGTCTCCGCGAAACCTTCCGTCTTATTCGAAGCCGTGGAGCAGCCAAGCAATGCCCTTCTCGCTCCGCTTGCGCCATTTGGCATGTCTCGCGCTGACTCTCTGCTGCCCCCC